GCCTTGTAGGGATGGGGATAGGTGCAGGTGCAGGTGGAGGTACAGGTGCAGGTGTAGGTGCAGGTACAGGTGTAGGTACAGGTGGAGGTGCAGGTGTAGGTACAGGTGCAGGTACAGGTGCAGTGTAGGGATGGGGATAGGTGCAGGTGCAGGTGGAGGTACAGGTGCAGTGTAGGGAAGGGGATAGGTGCAGGTGCAGGTGTAGGTGCAGGTGTAGGTACAGGTGGAGTTGCAGGTGGAGGTACAGGTGTAGGTACAGGTGTAGTTACAGGTGTAGGTACAGGTGTAGGTACAGGTGCCTTGTAGGGATGGGGATAGGTGCAGGTGCAGGTGGAGGTGCAGGTGTAAGTACAGGTGTAGGTGCAGGTGTAGGTACAGGTGTAGGTGCAGGTGGAGGTACAGGTGTAGGTACAGGTGGAGGTGCAGGTGGAGGTACAGGTGGAGGTGCAGGTGTAGTACAGGTGCCTTGTAGGGATGGGGATAGGTGCAGGTGCAGGTGGAGGTACAGGTGCAGGTGGAGGTGCAGGTACAGGTATAGGTACAGGTGTAGGTGCAGGTGTAGGTACAGGTGCAGGTGCAGGTGGAGGTACAGGTGCAGTGTAGGGAAGGGGATAGGTGCAGGTGCAGGTGGAGGTACAGGTGGAAGCATCAGTATATACAAACACACACACATATACTTCTAGTGGTGTTTCTCTAGAACACCCTAACTGATACAATAGTCACAACAAAACAGAAGCATAAATTGGCTCTTTCTTCCTTTCTTTTGGCAAATATTCAGGGGAACCTTAGACTCCCATCTGCCTGGAAGTCATACAGAGTGAATCTAATTTAGGACTGGGGGCAAAGGGCATCTGAGACATCTGTCCCCTGCTCAGAAAGGGCCATGTAACTGAGCTGCTTCCTCATGTGGGAGAATTATTTTAGGTGAAATTATTAATGCTGAAAGCAAAATTATAAATAAATAGATTGTTTGAATGTTGTTGAGTCCAATTTACTCACTACTTGATTTATTTCCCAGAAGAAATCCCCCTGGGGGATTTTATTGAGCTGGGACTCGAATCATTTAATTTTTTACCAGGCTATCTTTGCATTGAAAATTCAGATTTCACAATAAAGTAAACATTTATTTAATTTTTATTGGATGGTCCTACTACTAATTTATTTATGGAATTTCTTTTTTTAGAGAGAGAGAGAGAAAAAAAAAGCAGTTCTCCTGTGAACAGTTGCTGGAAGCATGCTAAGGTCAGGGGTCCCATGTCGAGTGTGAGTTTCAGAAATTTAAGACCAAGTATCTAGTGCATTGAGGTACCCCACTTCTGACAAATTAGCCAAAAAGGAAGAAAAGATGAAACAGCTACAAGAATCATCTAATTCTTGTGCTATTCATCACAGGAGGTTATTTTTGGTTTTCTTTTATATTCAGGAGTTGATCAAACCCAAGGATGCTGGTGAAAGTGATTTATGGGGCTTTGCACCCATCCACTCTGAGACTCTGCCCAGGTCCCACGCCAGGCCCCCCAGCCACCCCAAGCCGCTCCCCCAAGCCCAGCACCGTGCTCCCCATGGTTTCCAGCTCCCGACGCAGGGAGCCTGCGGGGTCCAAAGCCAGCTGGACTGCAGGTTCCAAGCAGCAACCTGTGCTCAGGGGGGTCTCCCCAACGGCACAGGCAAGTGGTCTTGAAGCAGACTGTCCTCGTCCATCACCGAACTTGCCCTCTGCTCAGTGAGATTAAACCAGCGGCTTTGTGTGCAGCTTGTACAGGAATGACTTTTGATAATCTTTGGTTGAGTGCTCTCACAGAGCATCAGAGAGGCTTGCGTCCCACTCTGCTGCATGGATCCTGAGCAGTGATGAGCCCCGATCGGTTTTCATGATGTGTTTGGAGACCAGAGAGTGAAGGTAAATACACAGATGCTAAGCCAGAGTTTAAATCCTTGCTCTCCCCTCCTAGCTGTGTGACCTCCCGCAAATTGCTTAACCTCTCTGTGCTCCAGGCTCCTCATCTGTAAAACGAGGGTGATGGTAAGGGAAGCAGCTGCCTCCCAGGTCTGCTGTGAGGATCAGAGAGCTATGTGTTTAAAGGTGGAGGAGCAGTGATGGGTACTTGCTGTTATTGTTTGAGAGTCCTCATGGCCCAGGTTCTGATTAGCTTTGTTCTTCACAGCACCATGTTAAGTGTCTGGAAATTAGAGTGAAATGTACCGTGGCTCAGGTCTCAGGCAACGATTTGAATCCCAGGTAGAGCTGGGCACTCCGTCTCAGGCTGTGATAGAGGTATCAACCCCCTGCCTCCCCCAAATGACCCGAAAAAGCCACAGGGCTCTGCGTGTCTCAATAACATCACAGAAACAGGACCAAAGTAGGTCAAAGTCACAACAGAAAGAAATCCTGATGTTTGAGGAGCTTTCCTCCCTAGCAGATGGGGACAGGCTGGTGGTGGGGGAGGGGGGCTGGGATCACATATGCTCCTTGCGCTGAATGCTGGGCCCCCTCCCCCCCCAAGAATGCGCACCTACAAACACGCCGTGACTCCATCCCATTCGTGTCGCCGTCAGTGACTCCATCCCCTCCGTGTGTCTGTCCTGGGCTGTGCTCATCAGGTTCTGGGAGGAGACACAAGTTTTGAGTAGGAAGGGCCTCAAATGCAGGGCCAGTTTCAGTGCCAGTGCAAGACCCTCGGTCTGCGGGGCTCAGGGGAGAGATGGGGATCAGAGCTCCCGATCGTCCGCTGAGCTCCTGCTGGCCATGCCGAACGGCTGCTGACTCGCTGGAAACGAGGCTGGCTCGCCTCGGTGGAGTTCATGCTGACCCAGTGCAGCAGGCTCTGCCTTCCCTCCTCTGCAGGACCCACTGCCTGGTCTGTGAGCCCAGGCTACCCTGACGGCAGGTGCACATGTGCACCCATCGGCTCCTGCATGATGCACGGGGCTCAGGGAGTCACCCCAGGAGGAAGGCAGCCCCCACACCCCTCAGCCCCCCGGGGCCCCCCATCCTGCCCGCACTTTACTTTGCCACTTCAGGGAATAAATAGTGCCCTCGGAGACTATGAGATTTTATCAGGAGATTATTTCCTTCCAGCAAGGACAACTGCGGTTTGGCTCTACAAGATTTATGGACAATAAAAAATCTCACGCACAGAGAGAAATGCTCACAGCAGGCACATGACGTGTCCGGCAGCAGATTGCAGAGCGGGAGATGTCGTTCTGTTTCCCTGCTACCTTTTAACCTCTGGGTGTATTGTCTGCATCAATGGTGAGGAATGTAAACGCATCATAATTAAGCGGATGGCGCTCGCTGGAGGACATGCAGAGGGCTCCGCAGAGAGACGGGCTTGACACACTAGCCCAGAGTCCGTGGGTAAATGTTACGCCAAACAGCAAACCTCGGGAGTGCCATTGATCCTGGGGTAATGAAGACTGAGCACAGAGGCTTCCCTCAGAGGTGACCTGCATAACTTACACGGGAATTTAGACTAATTCGCCGCTGCAAAATGACCTCCAAATGAGGGTCTCACTGGTGCGGCTGCGTTCGCGCCTTCTGGCCCCGCACAGCCGGGCGCCGAGGGGTCGGGTGTGCCAGGGCCAGTGGCTGCAGCCCGAAGGCCCACCACCCCGAGTGCCGAGCCCACCGCCCCGAGTGCCGAGCCCACCGCCCCGAGTGCCGAGCCCACCGCCCCGAGTGCCGAGCCCACCGCCCCGACTGCCGAGCCCACCGCCCCGACTGCCGAGCCCACCGCCCCGAGTGCTGAGCGCACTGCCTCACCTCACGGCGGCAGCAAGGGACGCTGGATGGGGAAATAGGAAGTCGGAGCGCTCACCATCAGGGGCTGACAGACACGGCAGCCACCCGGGGAGATCAAGAACAGGCCAGGTCATGGGTGGGGCTCATGAACACCCAGCTGGGTGGATCTGATGCAGGAGGCCACGGACACACAGTGAAAGAGCCGTGGACACAGGACAGACTCCCAGAGTCTACGTGCAGCTCCCTCACAGGAGAAGGCGGCCCTGAGGTCAAGAACCCCGGGCGGAGGGGGGAGGAATGCTGCCGCGAGCTGGAGGGGACAGCGGAGGCCGGAATGGACAGAGCTGATGGGGGGCCAGGCTGTGGAGGCCAGGGGCAGGGACATGACAGACACGGGCTTTGGGATACCCCACTCCCCACAAAGGCCCCCTTAGAAGCAGTGTGGACAGATTCCTGGTAGGAATTTTCCGAGTGTGAGCACAGCTCGGTCAACGGAGGGGAGTCTGGGATTTTGCTGAGTGTCCCCCGCAGGGCCCTATGAGAGGAAAGGCCCTGGGCCAGAGCAGGTGCATGAGCAGGGCCGGACGTGAGGCTGAGGGCAGCGGGGCCGCACAGCTCGGGCCCCCGACTCCAGGCCCCTCCCAGAGGCTTGCTCACTCTTGAAGAAAGGGCTACAGCCGGTGAGGCCCGAAACCAGGCAGGTCAGCCCTCCTGGGCCCTGCTCCCAGCTGCTGCTTGCTTTTCTTGGAAACTCCAGGGCCCTGGTGAGGGGGGGCTGCCACACGAGGGCCCTGCCAGGCGGTTCACGGTGCCTGTGATAACTGGGTCCAACCTGACATTGAGCAAACCCGAGCATCATTTACCTGAGACCTGGTGTGGCTTTGCCAGAGTCCTTTGGGAAGGCCTCTCTGCAGAGGAGGCCAGAGCGGGCTCCCTGGGACCATCATGTCAGCATCGTGGTGCTCCTGAGGAGTGCTCTGGAGATGCGCCGGCCCGGACCTCAGCACACAGCCGGAGAGGCCCCCTGCAAGCGCAGGGCCGCCCCGGTGCGGGAGTCCCAGGTGCGCGCTCTGCACGGGGTGTGCTCAGTGATTTCCTGAAGCGCCATCAACTCTCTGCCCCACTGTGCGCACCCCAACGTCCGTCCGGCTGCTTCCCTGAAATCCTGCCCTGTCCCTCTTTCAAGCTCGTGAGCTGGGCCAGGCGACTCAGCGCTTTGGTCTCGTCCCTTCACCTGCAAAGTGAGCAGTCGTCGAGCCAGCTCCAAGCCCCGCTGGAGATGTGCACGCCATGTGTGAATATGAAGGCACAAAGTAATGCCTGGCACGTATTCCAGGCTGAGTAAATATATACAATTATCTCCAAACAGTTCCACCACCAGACTCTGAGCACTGAAGTACAGCTTCCCTGTATTTATATGATTTTCTCTCAGTGGAACTGGAAAATCATTTTTGGTGAAGCCTCACACCGTGGGGGTGAGAAAGCCCTCACTGGCCTGTCTAAACGTTGGCCAGCTTGTTTGTTCTCCTGCGGGTTCCCTGAGGCCTGGGAAGGGTGGCACCACTCCTGTCCCCACCTGGAACGGGGAAGGGGGGCGGCAGTGATGGTTGAGCATCATCTCCCAGCTTCCCGTGTCAGTTTGCAACCCTGCCAGCGTGGGACCCCCGGTTCTGACCGCGACTGGGGTAGCGCGGTCCCGTAGCCCCGGGAGGAAGGATTTCCTGTAGCAAGTCTCAAGACTGCAGGAAACCAACCAAGCAATAAAATGCTCTCTGGCCTCAAGAAAGCAGACCCGGGATGAGGGTCCGAGACAGACTTCATGCCTTAACTCCCTTCGTGATGACCAGGAATCAGGGGGCGATGGGGCTCAGACCCTAGGTGCAGCAGACTGCCCTCAAGGGAAGCAGGCTGGAGTGTGGGATTCGGTGGCCTGGGACGGGACCTGAGAATCTGCATTTCTAACAAGCTCCCAGGTAATGCTGATGGTGCTCTGTTCCGGGAGCACATTTTGAGAACAACCGTCCTAGATTTCTGTCCACCTGAAAAAATAGGGTGTTTGCTGGAGGGAGGGCAGCGAGGGGGAAACGGATGGAAGAGTGAGCTCTGCGCACTGGCTCCCAGCTCCGCAGGGGCTGACCTTCTGAAGACCGCTGTGCTTGCGCTGCTGCTGGGAAATCCTGCTGGGGGCTCCTGGGCAGGAGTTGCAGGAAGATTTCACTAAATACTGAGCCAGCCGCCAGGCTTAGCACCTGCCCCTGGAATGCCAGTCGGTTACAGCTCCACCTGCGCTTTCCTGACTTTTCAGCAAGCTCTTCAAAGCTGTCTGGTCTGCCTCCAGGCTCTAAGAACCTAACCTACACCCAGCGCTGGGCCCCGTTATGTTATGTATCTACCAAAGTTCAATACAAAGCTTTGTTAAATGGAAAAGTTGAACTGTTCAGCAAACATGTGTTAATTGATTTTGCTTAGTTCTGTGCCCGCTGTTGGCGTGTGACTCTGAGCAGTTGCTATCAGCGCTGGGTCCTGATGCCCCCGCCATCCACCCTAGGCTCCTTTGAACACAAGGAACTGTCCACTTTGTGGGCAGGCTTCTGTCACCTCATGCAGAGGCCTGTGGAGAGTCCTGGTGATGCTCCCTCAGGAGCCCCCGGGGCCCAGGCCAGCTGAGTTTGGGAGGAGCAGGTATCCACACAGAGGCCAATCTTAGGACACACGTGACATTGTCCTGAGCCAGTTGTTTCCCTGGGAACATCTCTGGACCCCACCTTGTTAAACAATAACAAAGGGAAACCACAGACACAACCCACAACGTAGGCAAATGTTCCTCCATGTGCCTTGAGGACACTGATTTTGAAAGTCAGAACATGTCATTGATATTTTACATGCTACACATACATGTCCGTATCTATAGAGATATACACACGCAAGTATGTGTGCAAAATCTCTATTTCTTGAAATGATCCTGAAAAGCAGGACTTATCACTGCCATTTGGGAGATGGGGTAGAGGAGGCCACAGATCTCACATAAGTAACTCAAGACCACGTGACTGGCATTGAAAGAATAAAGAGTGAGCCACAGTTGAATCTAAAGGGAACGTTTTCCCACCATGAGAGAGGTCATGTCCCCTGGGAAAGCCAGTAATTGTAGGGACTGGGGGTCATCTTTGAGAACAAATGCAAAAGCCCTTCTCACAGAGAGCTGCTGGCTCCATCTTTGTCTTCCTGGCAGAACAAGGGATGGCCGTGGGGCCAAGAGGAAGAGCCCCCCTGCAGAGGGTCAGTCTCCAGCTGCAGCCGTGGGCACCTAAGCTTGGCTTCCCATTAAGACCCCTTTCCTTGGTCATGAACCACCCATCCCATGCCATGTCCTGTCTTCTTATCCTCTCCCTACTCCACCTCCAAGGGTCAGCTACGCCTGCGGCCTCTCCAGGGGATAACTGACATGTGGCGACAATGTGCCAAGGATGGGCCCTTTGGTCCATGCAGCAGGGCCACAGAGGCTAAGGGTCAGCTACTCTGGGCCATAAAAGCATTTGGTGTCCCTGAGACTGTGCTGCACAGGTGGGCTCCCTCTCCTCCCCCAAGCCCGACTGCAACAGACCAAGCTCATCTTGTGGAGGGGAAGGACATGGACAGGGTGAGTCCATGTCTGCGGGCCAGAAGAGAATCCTGTTGGGATAGATTTCCAACATTGTGATGACTCACGGTCCCTCCCTTGTGGTGTCCCCCCACAATGACTCCAGACTCAACTGGGGACATGGTCTGTAAGGGGCTATGAGCAAACATGATGCAGGCAGAAGCCTGGAGAGCTCTTACTGGGTTGGCCTTCTCTGTCTGTCTGTTCCCTGGTGCATGCTGGGGGATAAGACAGGTGGAAGAAAACCAGTATAGGCCCATAGACAGGCACCGAAACTTCAGACGTGTGAGTGCAGCCACGACCAAAGAACCACCAGAAACCCATGATTCATGAGCTAGACAAATGTTTGTGTTTCAGGCCATTGAGCGTGGGGGTCATTTGTTACGCAGCAGACACTGTGGCAGAGGATAACTGATGCACCTGCACCATCTGACCTGACAGCTGCAAACACAGGCCCACGGGCTGCTCCCACTGAGGCCAGCGTGAGAGCTGGGATGAGAGACACCTGCCTTTGGGCACCTTGGAGCTGTCAACTCCATCGACCCCTACCTAGGACCAAGCTCAGAGGGCACTGCTCATTGCAGGAAGGGACAGGAGGCCACTTGCCAAGTCTTTCTGCCACAGACTCCTTTATGTGCTTAAGGAACTCCTCTTTTCCTGTGTTGTGGCTTGAATGATCACACCAAGTCCTTTATGCAGAAAGAATAGCCAAAGGAGTGGATGGGTTCGCTTCTAAGAAATGAGAGTGGCACCTTCCTGGGAGCAAACTGTACATCCAGGGAAAGAGCGAATCATAGTCATGAATCTCAGAAAGGCAGAACCTGATTTTTCTTTCTGAAATGGAGTGTGTAATCTCACCATAAATGCAGCTCCATGATTTGACGTGCTTTTACAGCATGGGAAAATAATAATCAATGCTAGAAAGATAAAATGATACATTTGGACAGTGATGAACCAAAGACGAAGAGGATTGGTGGAATTAAATTAAACAAAAATCTGAAACAGTAACAGACACTGACTTCCCATTATTTGACCTAAAGAAAAATTCATTTCTGTAAACATTTTTTTAAAAGGTTTCATCCAGGGGCGCCTGGGTGGCTCAGTTGGTTAAGCGGCTGCCTTCGGCTCAGGTCATGATCCTGGAGTCCCGGGATCGAGTCCCGCATCAGGCTCCCTGCTCAGCAGGGAGTCTACTTCCCCCTCTGACCCTCCCCCCTCTCATGTGCCCTCTCTCATTCTCTCTCTCAAATAAATAAATAAAATCTTTAAAAAAAAATAAAAGGTTTCATCCAGTTATTTCAGGACCTCAATTACTCTTGAAAATGAGACAGCCTGGCAATTTAAAACAGCTTTCTTTTAACTATTCAGTGTCAAAGGAAAACATAAGAATGACTTTATTTTAATGAGTGAAATTTACATATACTATTGACCTTGTGTGAAGCCTCGCATTATATGAAATATACTGTATACCATATCATCCAAAATGCATTTTTCCTTTCAGACAGTTGACATTTAAACGTACTTCTTAGAATCAAGAAAAAATATACATTAATCTTGCTTTTCCATAATCTAAAGAAAGAAGGGGAAAAAAGAGCAAGTGAACATTTTTCATCGACAAGGGGGCATGTAGCCAGAGTTCCCACAGCGCCATGATCCGGGGGTGTGGGGCTCCTTCAGCAAGTATGGCAGGGAAGGGGGGCCCCACTGAGAACAGATGGATTCTCATGGAGAACAGGTACCCCATTCCCTCCAACGTTTTTGAGCACACCCAGGAATGAGGTTGGCCAATCCTCGGCCACACAGGTCTGCCTCCGCAAGGACAGGACAGCTGGAGGGAGGGAGGACCGAACATCTTACCTGTGTCCCCACACCTACCCTCTAAGCTCACCAACTGTGGCTTTGTTTGGCGATGGTGGTGGAGTCCTGACCAGCAGGCTGTCTCTTCTGGCTGAACTTGCCAAGCAGCTGGTGTCAGCTTCCCAACCACACTCTTTACCCAGGGAATTTGTTTTCTTCTTATCCCTGCCTCTGTCCTTGCCAAAGGCCAGTTTCCTCATTTTGCTTCAAATTTGCTGCACAAGAACATTGGCCATTTTCCTTAGCTCCTCCTTGGATGAAGAACCAAGTATCCCTGCTATCATCCCTGCCTCAGACCTGTGAGCACTGAGATAGGGGCCTCAGCAGCATCAGAGCACAAATTCATTCATTCATTCATTCATTCTTTCTTTCTTTCTTTCTTTCTTTCCTTCACTCATCCAGGTGAGGGCTTGCTGTACATGGACAGATGAGATAGAATTCTTGTCCTCAAGAAAATCACATAAAAGGATGTAATCATACAATCAAGACATGCAATGAGCCCTGGGAGCAGAGCAGGGTGTGGGATTAGATATGCCACAGAGGTAATAAGATGCTTTTCATAGGTGA